TCGCCCTCGCCCTCGCCCTCGCCGTTGGCGTTGGCGTTGCCGTCGCCGTCGCCGTCGCCTCGGCGTCCTCGTCGTCGAGGTCGGAAGAAGAGAGTATCGTCTCGCCGGCTGAGTCTGGTCCAAGACGCATGTCGTCTGAAGAGTGGAAGGTTGCCGTGCCGGGCGCGAACGACGCGGTAACCGAGGCGAAGGGGCCCAAGAGCGAAGGCGACGGCGACGCTGACGCCGACGGCGACGCCGACGCCGACGAAGCCGACGGCCTGTGCCGTCTGGAGGGCGAATCGACGCCGGTCAAGCGCAACTGTTGCCGACGGGACCGGTTCGCCTGCGCCAGATCGCCTTCAGTCAAGGCGACCGACGCGGCAGAGCGCAACGTCGAAGAGGATGAGGACGTCAACGTCGACGTTGAGGCTCGAGACGGTTGGCATCTTCTCGTCCGTTCATTGGCCAACTGCGGCCACCTTTTGCCACACTCTCGACCGGACAACTTTCTCTCCTCCTCGTCTGTGCTCCGCTCCTCCTCCTCCTCCTCCTCTTCCTCCTCTTCTTCTGCCTCCTCTTCCTCATTTTGCTGCTCTTCCTCGTCTTCGTGACAGTCGGCCGCCATGTTGGCGTCCACGTGGTACATCGGCCTCGCCTTCCCGGCCAGAATGGCAGACGTGTCAGGAGCCACGGCAAGCACTGCACCGAAGCTTCGACATTGCGTCTCTTCAGCCACGAGACTGCCGAACATTTCGTGTCGTTCTATAATATCCGTCTGAAAGGGTAGGACATGACAAACGCATTGTGTGTGTGTGTATGTGTATGTGTGTATGTGTATGTGTGTGTGTGGTTATTAAAAAATAGAGAATGAAAAATCAAATTTTTCAAAGAATCATTCTTATTGCAAATTGAATTTTAATTGTAATGCCTAACGATTGATGGGAATCAAGGAAGGATTGTTGGCTTTTTGTGCAAGTCGTCCTCGAGACAAAATCCCACCTGCTTTATGCGTCGTGTGGAAAAGCGGGACGGTGTGACGACGACGCTTTCATAGGATGAAGGTCACGTGAAAAGGGCACAAAAACACGACTTTGCAACGCATGCAAGTCTTAGAAAGCCACTTCGAGAACACTGACACAGACACTCGGTTCGTCTGCTTCCGAAGGTGGGTTTCTCCGTCGACGCAGTTCGAAAATCCCACGTCGCCCAACTCGGCTCCCTCCGAGGATGGTCAACGCGTAAACGCAACCAGAATGTGTGTGTGTGTATCTGCCATTATGTTGCATCCACCATCTACAGAAGGGCACCTTAGTTCACCCTCTGACACACACAAACACACACACAGCTGTGAAATAACAACTACCAACAGAATGTGATATGGGAGAATGCCCTGCATTCTTTGAAATTCACAACTGCTGTGGCAGCCAAAGTCACTGTTGCTAGCGCGGCATGTCGGTTAGCGCTGGCACACCACAAACAGGGTTCGAGTCCGGCTGGGGGTGCTGATGAGACCAGTCGAGGTGAGGTCGAAACCGCAGTCCAATCCAGTCCAATCGAAATGAGAATAGGTGTTGGCAAGCAACATCATATGCAATCAAGTAGGAAACATGAGGCAAATTCATATGATTGTAGGGAAACTCAACTAGCCGTCATTCATTGTCTGAAGCAAAAAGGCGAATACAACTTTTGTCTCAAAAGATTTATCAGTTTGAACGAATCTGTGTGCCAAATTGCACATTCACAGTCACGGCAAAGAGTGGGCAGATGAGACTTGCAGACGACACTTTAGTGGTGGGATTATCGAAGCCAGAACGACTCGCTGGTCGGCGTCACAATCGACGAGGTTGCTAAGGGCCATGATGGGCAGAGTTGGAGACTGGGAGAATGTCTTTGGCGGGCCCTGCTAACGAGGGGATTGGGTGCGCAAGCGGAACTCGAACCCGCGGTCCAGTTGGGGCGAGACGACGTGCTAGGCAGAGGCGCCACATTTGAGTGTGACCAACTTGAAGCAATCACACCTCGACTGTCTCGCGGCTACTTATTAATCCTCAGTAAGTACCTCCAAACACACTCTGATCGACTTCACACACATACTAACACAATTGGTTCGTCAGCACCTTCAAACACACTCT